CCCCGCCGCCCCTTACGGCCAAGCCCCCGCCCCCTCGGCCATGATCCCCGCCACGCCCATGAGCTCCAACCACACACGCAACCTCATTGGCATGAACGCCGTCAACGCCTGCCGCCTCAACGACACCAAGAACAAGCCGGGCTTCTGGTTTGTCCTGCAGGACCTCAGCGTCCGCACAGAGGGTACCTTCCGCCTCAAGCTCTTCCTCTTCGACATTGGCGCCGGCGACGGCACAAACGCCACCGTGGCCCCAGAAGGCCCCACGCGCGGCAAGGGCAAGTGTCTAGCCGTCAACTTCTCCGACCCCTTTACCGTCTACTCGGCAAAGAAGTTCCCCGGCGTCATTGAGAGCACCCCGCTGAGCAAGTGCTTTGCCCAGCAGGGCATCAAGATTCCCATTCGCAAAGATGGCCCCAAGCTCCCTAACCAAGCAGAGTATGATGCCGACGATTAATCCTGTAGTTACCAAGCTCGTTTTCGCTACGAATAATCAAAAAAAACATTCTTCCATTCTTCCGCACGATAGACTTGACATACGTTAAAACATTAAAAGATGATGATTGCAAAGCAGATGGCTCATCTTTATACATAGACTTACTATTACGACGTGACTATAATATATACATGTTACCTTTTTCCATGTGGATGCCCCCTCCACCCCCTCAATGCTTGTGATGACTGTAGTTCTCTTAGGAAACAACTAACCATATTCGATACTCAATAACTGCAGTCTAGTGTAGTATGTATGTTGTCACAGTTTCCATTGACGGTAGGTTAGACCCGCGACAAATCGTATCCTCATCATCGTTGGGAAAATTCTTCTCTATGAATTTCGTACACAAAGATTGACATCTCTACTCTATATGCTTGACCACATTGCCATGATCGCCCTTTTCCATTATGTACTCTGGCACAAGTGACCCCAAAATTGGCTTCCTCGATTCTCGAACAAGCGAAAGAATCGAACCACTTTCTTGAAACATCATCTCGAGCTCCTCTAGACTGCGGCCCATGGTTTCTGGGTAAAGGAAGTAGATGATCGGAACAATTGAAGCAGACACAGAAAGGAATACCAGATAGTATCGCCAGCCAATAGTTTCAATCGCCACGGGGGTAACCTATCACATGTTAGAGCCAACCCTCTTGTGAAGAGTGAGAAGTCTGCAGTACTGACCATGTTGATGACGAAGTTCCATAGCCAGTGATTCGCGGTTGATATACCCGCCATGCGAATCCTTAGTCTTGTTGGAGCGACCTCGGTACAGTATAAAAAGTTCGCTCCAGAGAATCCAATGGGTATAAAGAAATTAAACAAGTAGATGAAGAACGCTGAAGCAATCTGTGCCGCATAGTTGCTCTTTGGGAAGCTAGAGGCAATAGCAAGAGCCATCATACACGACGCCATTCCACAACCACTAAACATGAAGAGCTTACGGCGACCATATCGATCAATCGTAAAGTAGGCAACAAAACAAGAGAGGAATTTCCAGGTAAGAGCTCCTCCTGATAAGATGCGAGACATCTCACTGCTCATTCCGAGGCCTTGTTGAAAGATAATCTGCATCCGTTGCGTTAGTCAAGCCAATGTTGATTAATCCGACTCCTACTTACCGTGGAGTATGTCGATATAAGATTGGCTCCACACATTTGTTGTGCAAATTGTAGGAAGATACACAAGGAAAACCGGTAGAACAATCTATCCTTGCCCATGGTGAAGATGTCGCTTATCCTGGCCCGGGCCTTGGTCTCCTCTAGTGCGAGTTCAATACCGTTGATCTCGTCACTGATGACGGGATCCGTAGAATCAAGTCCCTCGAAAGCTGACATGCTCGCGCGCGCCTCTTCATATCTAGATTGTTTGCACAGCCACCTTGGAGATTCTGGAATCGTAAAGATGGCAGCCATAGGCACGATTGAGATCAGAGTCGGGATAGCGAGTGGGATACGCCATTGTAGAGGGAGATTGTCCTTGATCTCGAAGAATCCAAGGTTAATCCAGGCCTCAAGCATGTAGCCTGCAAGGATAAAGACACCATCGAGAACAACGTGTTTGCCGCGGTTAGACGTTGTCGAGCATTCTGACTGCCAAACAGGAACTGTTGCGCTCATCCCCCCAACACCCCATCCCAAAATAATTCTTCCAACAACGAATTGCGCAACATGAAAGCTGGTGCACTGAAGGATTTCCCCTACTAGTGTCAGCAAGGCGGCAGTAAAGATAATCTTGCGATGTCCATATTTTTCCGCAGACCAAGAGCAAGATAGAGCTCCAAAGAGGGCGCCGATTGTAAATGATGCCACTACAGCACCCTGCCTTGTTGACTTCCGACTCTTCTCAGTACCCTGAGCATCGATTGTATCAATCTCAGGGAAATTATGGTTCCAATCACGAAGCGATAGGAGGCCACCAACGCCTGATTGATTGTAACCGAAAAGCACAAAAGCTGGCATAACTACAAGTAGTAGCTGAGCTAGCCGCAGTTGCTTTCCAGTGAGCCCCATACTGTTTCTGCCTCCCCTAGTGGAGTTACGGTCGGATGGGAGGAAAGGTGCCTTTGATTAGTCGAGCAATTCAACGTGTTGGATCGTGAGCTGGCGACACACAACTGATGTTGATCGGAGTAGGTGACGAAAATGAAAAATCTGGGAGCAGAGCGTTATTTGTATTCCAATCGTGCCGATTGGAAATGTGCCCATCCAAGAAGCTGTGGGGAAATGTCGGGGCAGATTGAGATCCCCGCGGTAGCACATCGTGAGATCCGGGGAATAAGAACAGACGCTCTGCGAACAGTACAAATTTGTAACGCGCAAGCAGCCGATAATGGCATCGATTCGGACCAAAACTCAAGCTCACCAAGCCTCACCAAGACTAGACGCAAGAGTGCTAAGGCATTTGACAATCTTGTGCCTCCGACCCGCGGGTACAGCAACGAATCAAGTCCACGGGAGGCGCACGGGAAGCCCGTGGGCTTACCCGCGGGAAGTCCATGAGAAAACCCACGGGAAAACCTACGGGAAAGCCCCCGATGCCTACGGTGGTTGTACGTAAACGGTTAGTAGTAGCCGGAAGACTTGCTATACTGGGAGGCACAACCGACAAGCCGTGCCAAGCATATCCAACCACGCCGGATGCGACTAGCTACCCCACGTCAAAACGTATCATATTTCGTAGGCTTCTTGGTAGAATCATCCTCTGTGACATGACGTGCTGTTGCTTTTTCAAGGCTACTTGGGTCAGGTCAAAACATGGACGAGATTTCATCGTCGTCTCTTCCGCATAAATAACGTCCGATGGAGGACTCGCTTGTTGCCGTTCAAAGGCCAGCACATTGAAGTCTGGTGGTGTTTTTCGTCCATGTGGCTTCGCTTGAACCCTAAAGCACCTTGAACTGAACCGATGCTTATGTGACTAGTCTGTAATAAAGTAATTAGTTAATTTATTTATAGAATCTAGTAGTAGTTAAAGTATTATATAGAGTCTAGAGTGCTAATACTTCTTTAGCTTAATCTAGATTAGGGTAAGTAGAACTTAGATTAGTGCTATAAGAGTTACCTAGTAATTTATAATAAAAAAAAGTTATATATATAACTAGAGTTTTAATAATACTAATCTATTTAATAGACTAATATATAACTATCTTATTAAGTAAAAGATACTAGTAAGAAAGTATAATTTAAGTTAACTATAATAAGAGTAATTATAAAATCTATCTATCTTTATATTCTTATTACCTTCTATTCTAGCTTTATAGTCTTTACAAAATAATCTCTATATCTTTTAAAGTTTCTAAAGATATCTAGTTACGTGTAAGGGTGTCCTTATATACTAGCGCGGAATACTTAGTCTTAATATAAAGCTATAGTAGTAAATAGGTAGAGATAGGTATTACATTAGATTACTAAGAGTTAGGTTAGGTTAGGTTGGGTAGTGATTATATAAGACCTAACCTCTACCTCTACCTAACTCTTAGTAACC